TGGGCCGCGTTTCCTCGCGTGGAACGAGGTGGGTGCCTCGGAGGGATGATTTCTCGCGGTTCTCTCCCCTTCACAGGCTCTGGCGCTCACGGGGGGCCGCTCGGCGGAGGCGGCGGCGCAGCTTTACTTCAGTAGCGGCCTCGATTCCCAGGTATCTTCCGTCCCCTTCGGGTTCTGCCGCGACTCGGTTTGTGGCCTAGCATCATCCTAGTCATTCCAACTAGGGCTGCTGGAGAGCCTCCCTCCGCCAAGGGGCCTTGTGGCGGAGAGTATGGTTGAGCATGTGAAGAGTTCCGTCCCCTGCCTCAGAAACTGTGGAATTCGGGATCAAAACATCCTGTTTAGAGAGGGCTTTGGCATCGGAGAGGCTCATCAATCCAAGTGGCTGTAACTTGCTGGCCCACCCTTTCGTTGGTTAAAATAGCGAATTGCACTGGAGTAGGCCAGCTGAATGAGAATTGGGTAGGTGCATGGCTTCACAGGTTTAAGGGATCCAAATGGGCCTCCTCTGACTGCAACTAACTATGCTAAAGTATGTTGCAGTTGGAATAGACCCATTGGAATCAATGGAACTTCTGTAGCAGTTGATGCCCCAAATCTTCATTTATTCAGTGGGCGCAACAGGATTTTGGCTTGGCTGTTAGAAGAAAACCACAAACAGCATACAGATGGTTCTTCTTTCATTGTTTTGTATTACACTGATAGTCCGTGAATTATATTATTATGTACTGTCATGTTGTCTCTGACTTAGATGAGTGAATGGTTAGTGTGGAAAATGTTCATAGATTAAATGAGATGAAAAGAAATCACCCACCTGAAAAGTTTACCATCATTCTCCAACCTGTTTGGGGTTTTTTCGAACCCACTTTCCCCTAGTCCTACCCTGATGTGACTTAACTGTAGTATATGCAGCATAGGGAACCTTTGGTCCCTCAGCAGTTTTGGTCTACATCTCCCATCTGCTGTAGCCAGCACAGCCATGAGGCATAAAGCAGACTATGCGTTGGAAGGAAGGACATCAGAACTACAGGATTTAAGCCAATTTAACTCTTAAAAAGTTGGCTTTAACTCTGGATTTGAATCCTTGCATACCTGTTTGCCTTAGTGCTGAATTGGGTTTCCATCACCCACCCTATTTTGACAAGCTCCTGTAGGGCAGGCAGATACAGTACAGGCCTCTTTTTCATGTTGGGAATGGCAGATTGCTCCTGTGGAGTTTGCCAGAGTAACTCAGTGTCTGTATATTTGAGATATTTGGGGTGGAAATATCTTGAAATGTTAAACATTCAAATATGAAAAAAACCCAAAACTAATAGAATTCTTCATTGCTGCTGAATAGTTTGACAAAAGGACTCTGTCAAAGGTTGTGTTGTTGTGTGAATGAGCCCGTGTCTCCCTTAATGGGTGGGGGGGCACGCATCCAAGACTACTTGTCCCTCAGTAGTTTGAGTTGACCTTTTGAGGGCAAAGATCCAAGAGTGATTCACACAGAAAGAAAGTATGAAGTAGTAGAAACAGAAATGGCTGTAATAAATGTATATAAGATTTTAAAAATTCTCAGCAAAAACTTTATCTTATGAAATGCAGCGCAGAAATGGTAGCCATTGAAAAGAGTTCTGAGATACCTGGTTTTTGAAAGTTCATGTTAAAAATAGCCAGAAAGGGTGCCTGAATAGCAGAAGGGCAACACAGGAGGGAACCAACACAAAAAAAGGCTATTCCTATTATGCCTCTGGGCATGATGGACAGAGATGCTAGTCCCTTTATACATGTATCGTCTACATTTCCTCCCAAGACGCCAGAAAGGGTGCCTGAATAGCAGAAAGGCAACACAGGAGGGAACCAACACAAAAAAGGCTATTCCTATTATGCCTCTGGGCATGATGGGCAGATATGCTAGTCCCTTTATACCGGTATCATCTACATTTCCTCCCAAGACGTTCAAGGTGGTGAACATCCTCCCCTGCTTTAACTTCACTACAACCCTATTGAATGGCTTAGACTGAGGGCTGGTGCCTGGCGCGACATCACCCAGGGAATTTCACAGATAAATAAATAAAATAAATAAATAAACATCCTCCCCTCCTTTAACTTCACCACAACCCTATTGAATGGCTTAGACTGAGGGCTGGTGCCTGGCGCGACATCACCCAGGGAATTTCACAGATGAATATGGTTTCGAATCTGGCTTTCCCCAGGCCTAGTCTGATACTCAAAACTAGTGCACAGTATTGAGACAATACTCCATGTATGGAGTACGACCATGGAAGAGACTTACAGTCAAACTCTTTCTAGGAGGAAGATGATGGCCAAGGCAGTGGATACTACAAGATGGTCTTTGTGGTGAACATGGAGCTTTCTATGGGACCTGGAAAGGTAAAATTCTTCAAGAAGACCCTCTGTTATCCTGAGAGTGCAATCCTTTTAAAGCAGCTTTGATTGCTTCATAGCCTAATTGCTTACAAAATCAAAGAACTGATCTAGAAATGAAGGAGAGAGAAACCAAGGAACCCTTGAATACTGTTAAGTTCTTAATTTGTTTTCATGTTCTGCAATAAATAGTTGGATTGGTGCTGAGTAACAATACTTATTTGGCTGTTATGGAACAAATAACATCAAATGTTGCTGTTCCAAATATCTAAGTTGAGTTAAGATTTCTAAATTTATTGCATTTTGGAAAAATTCTTTTTTTTGAATTAAAACTTCGGTAATCCTTTCACCAAGAAGGCAAGTGGCCGTGCTGGTGGGAGGATTTGGGATGACATGTCCAAAAAAGTAACTTCCCCAGATTCTTTTATGTCTTGCAGGCTGTGGCAAAGTGGCTCTGCAGTGACATAGCTTCCTTCAGTAACTTAGACTCAGTTATTACAGATTATATGTGATTATTTTAAGAAAATGAATATAAGGACATAGCTTTTTTTGATTTTTTTAAAATTGTAGAATGCTTGCTTTGTTACCTTTTCATAGAGAGACATATTAGCTGTGGAGTAGTTCACAACAACATAGGGTTGTTGGGAAAAATTATTTCTTTCCCAGCTTCTATTTGGATTGCTTAAAGAGAACAGAAACCCAAAGAGGGTGGTGCATCATATCCTAGTCTTAACCAATCAGTAAAACCCAGTGCTTTGATTCTGGCTGTGCCATGCCAGGTCTCTGTTTATTTTTGGCATCAGCTCCATCTTGCATTTCTTCCACTGGGCTGAAATCAGCATCCTGATTCTCATTGCCCTCACTGTATTCTCGTGACAGCCCTGGGAGTAGGTCAGGTTAAAAGAAAGTGACTGGCCCAGTGTTCCCCAGTGAGTTTTTCGGTTCCGTGAGGACTAGATCTCCCAGGTTTAGGTTAAACCTGCTGACCTTTACAACATGTTGGCTTTGATCATGCTTTATTAGCAGAAACAACGAAGGATCTCATGTTATCTTAAAGGCTACATGTTGCTGATGGTAGGAGCTTTCCTGGGTACTCCCCGCTTCATTTGTGAGTGTTTTTCTTTTGCAGATCGCTGCTCAGGTGGGCCACGCAGCCATTGGCCTCTACCAGCTGATGCAGGAGAAGCCTAGCCAGAGGGATCTGCTCAACCAATGGGATGAACAAGGGTAAGGAAGCATAAGTGGGCCCATCACACTGTAACTCTGCATAGCATACCATGTGGAAGCAGGTTTATTTTTTGAGAAAGGATATTCAGCGACTTGATCAGCACAGCTTTGGGGCACAGCTTAACACATGAGCTAGACCGAAGGGTTGACTGGCTGGCGGAAACTGCAGCCCTCTGTGCTGGAACAGGCACTGGCCAACTCTGGAGGCCAAGGGACCGCTCCTGGAACTGGCCTTTTGGGTAGCAGGGAGAAAGGAAGGGAGTTCTTTGCATGAACATGCATGGGTGCAAACATAGAGGCAATGTTGCTTTTAGCTTAAGGTGCCCAACCCTTTACTCAGTTTTCAAGAAAGGTCTATGCTTGATTTTGTGCCAAAAGGCTGAGAAGTGAACATAATCTTTAAGAAAATAAAAGAAAGTACCTTTTAAATCCTATATTTAAGATCCTAAGTTTTTTCTCATTTAAATCATGGGGCACTCTCATTCCGGATATCTTTGCTTGGGCTCTTCCCACCAGCAGAGGGAGGCAAAAGGTGTCTTTCCCTGACTGTGCTGTTTTTCCAGCAGCTGACTGACATGGTGATCTCCATGGTTATACTGGCTGGTCTCGGAAATGACTTGCATTTATATTGGCTGCTCTCAGAAATGACAGGCATGGGGAACCTTTACAATTATGCTTGAACGCTGACTGTATGGTGGTGGTTTTTTTTTTGAAGGGCAGAGGGGGGAGTTTACAGCTCTCAGAATTCCCTAATGAGCATGAACATTGGGAGTGCTCAGGAAAGTAATTTCCACAAGCTCTGGCTAGAACTGGAATCCAATGCTCTGAATGGCCACTTTTGTTTAATCTTTTCCCTAGAAACTTGTATCTGTTTGTTTCCTTGCCTGCAGAAACTTGGGTGTAGAAGCAGATGTTGAGTGGAGGGCTGGTCTTAACATTCAGTCTTGTTTTGGTATTCTCAGTGCCAAGAAAGTTGTCCTTCAGGGATCCAACACTGACCAGCTGCTGGAACTACACGCCTTAGCCCTGAGCCTGGAGCTGCCAACATACCTAGTGCAAGATGCGGGAAGGACCCAGGTAAAGCAACCAGTGGATCTTATCCTTGCTTTTTGCAGGAACACAAAACTGCTAGGTATATAAGGAGGACTATATAAAGATTTCCCCACTGGGCGATGGTGGCAAATTGTTCAGTGAGTATCAGTTGGGTATATTATGTCCACCTTTGGACAGATTTGCATGAAAAATATTTCATGTGGTTTCTAAGCTTGACTTGTATTAGAGAAGGAATCCTAGATCAGGGCCAGTGTCTTGGAGGTGCTCTGGAGCAATGCTAGATGTCCAGTTTCTGCCATTTGATTCTTAGAAAGCTGTTTCTAGCCTGCACTTCAGGGGTGGGCAAAGCAAGGTGCTCCAGATGTTGCTGGACCACAACTCCCGCAGCAGTAGCCAGTGTAACCAATGGTAAGAAATGCTAGGAGTTGTAGTACAACATCTGGAATACTACACGTGGCCCACTCTGGCTGTAGTTGAAACTAGCATAGCTGTGTTTAGTATAAAATCTTCTTGGAAAGAAATACAGAAGCAAGGAGCCAACAGTATAGGCACTATATTTTACCTGCATACGTAGACCCTGTCTATTTATCCGTGCTTTTGAGCAAATCTGCAAACATGCTGTCCAAGGTTTCTTTTTCCGTTTCCTGCCAGTTCATATTGAAAATCATGTTCTGCAATTTCTTGTGCACAACTTGTGCCCCCAGTTGGCAAGCTATATAGATTGTTGGCTTAATCTGGTTTCAAAATGGAAATCTGTTTTTTTAAAACGCATGACAGATTTTCAGAACTGTACTTTTGAGACCTGCTTGATGTGCTTTAAATCAACCAGGGATACACCTTGACATCAGTAAGAATGAGAACAATCATATTCAATATTTCTGCATTCCTTGCTGCTCTTAACTATCAACACATGATAGTGGAAGGTAAAGAAATCACAAGGACTAGGAAGCTGTGCTCAACTTTTTGGAAGAGCCCTATCCCGGTGATCCTGCATCCTGCACTGCAAACGTGGATAAAAGGAGTGCCTAGCCCTGCATGCGTCTCCTGCCACTTTCTCCACCCAAAGAGGGATGAGTCTGAAGAGGGGAGGTTCTTCCTCACATGTATGCTCTACCTGGGATATCAGGGTTCTTCCTTGCACGTAAAACCTACACATGTGCATGAATCTGTTCTCTTTAGATACCTTGTTGATCAGATAAAGAGAGTGACACTGGAGGCAGTGCCCTCTATATGTGTTCACAACACTGAATGCAGTGATGCCTGAAAAGGGCTAATATTTCAGCAGGGACTGTGGCAGGGTGAAGAATCTGTGGCTTTCTCCATGTCATTGGATTCCCAGCATTCTTCATGCCCATCTAGCATGGACAAAGGCTGAGGGTTATGAGAACGTTAATCCGACGGTGCATGGAAGGCCCTAGGTACCTGGCCTCTGAACTACAGAGCCTTGTGAACAGGTTTTCAACAAAGAGGGTCACTTGCTACCTCAGCACTTATACGAACATAGGAATCTATCTTATCCTGGGTCAGACCATTTGTCCATCTGGCTCACTGTGGTCAATGCTGACTGCCAGCAGCTTTCCAGGGTTTCAGGATACGAGGTTTTCCAGGCTCCCCTGCACTGCATGTGAAGTGAGTACCCACCCGATCCCCGAGTTAAGCCCCCTCCCCAAAACTGTAGTATGTGTTTGGTGATGTGCAGTAATGGGGGTCGGCCCTAATCCTAGCCCTTTTCCGTCCCCAGTCCTGGGCTTTCAGTTGCTGTAACAGAGCCCAGCGCACTGAGTTGTACCTGTAGTTTTCCTATAACTTGGGTTCCTTTGAGGGCTTGTAGCAACTCTGTTGGTGTCTTTTCCTGTTCCAGGTTCCAGCTGGCTCACACACAGTCCTTGCCATCATGGGAGAGGAAGAGATAGTGAATCAGGTGACAGGGCAGCTAAAACTGCTGAACTGAGGAAAGCTTTGGCGTTCGGCAGTGGGCCGTGGAGTTCCCGGGCAGCCCTTCTGTGTGTATGTGTGTGTGTATATATATATATGCGCGCGTGCTCTTTTTGGACGAAGAGGAAGGTCCGATGGACAGCACTCAACTCTCCTCTGGGCAACATGGGGGGGTGGGGAAGAAAGGTGCACCTCTCCTCTGGAAGAGGGATTGTCATTTTCTAAGGTGGCGGCTGTAGGGTTCCATGGTAGGGGGATTTACTAGGGCGCTCCCAGGCAGGTCTGGAAAAGGACAGCTGTGTATTATCTGCACCACTTACAGAACAGGTGAGGTCTGGTGCAGGCATTGCCTGGGCTTTCTTTTGCATTGTGGGGAAACCACAGAAAGCAGGCAAAGTGTCGCCTTCCAGATGTTGTTGCATTATGATCCCCATTAGCCCCATGCCAGCATAGCCAACTGTGTAGAATGCTGAGCATTGCAGTCTCAACATCTGGTTGGAGGGGGGGTGCCCTTTGCCAACCCTTGACCTAGCATAACCCCTCCCAGCAGAAAGGCATTTGTACCTATATCATCCCCGCTGTGTGTCTTGTCTTGTCCTGGGGGGGGATGTTTGCTGTTAGTAAAGAAAAGGAATGAAGACTCAGCAGCCTCTCTAGACAGCTTCTTTGGCTGCTGAGCTGCTCTTACTGCTTAAGTGTACATTTTCCTGAAGTTTAACCTAGCGTCTATCTTGCAGTGGTTGTAATCCCTTGTCTCTCCACCTGCCCCTACTTGTGCTGTGCTCCCTCTTTTGTGCTGTTCCTTCAAATCTTCTTTTCAAACGTTTTTCAAAATACTCAGTTTTTAACGCAACAAGCATCTCTAAAGTATCACATCTCTAGCCAGTGGATGGGCAGTGAACTAAGGAACTGCTATGCTGGCAAGAATAACCCAATGAGGTTACTGTTACTGAAGATCAGGGGTGGGGCAGGGCTGAAAGCTCCAGGAAATGACTTCTGGTCCTCCAGATGTTGTTGGGCTGTCACTCCTAACCAACAAAGTCATGAGTGAGTGATGGTGGGAGTTTCAGCCCCATAACAGCTGGAAGGCTATCTTTCAGTCCCCTTTGGCTTAGCGCAGTGCAAAGAAATAGGGAAACCACGACTTAGAAGTTAGTGAGAAATTACTGTTGAGAAGGCAGCTTTTCTGGTGTTCATGAAAGAATCCCTTCCCCTTCTTTAAACTGTTTTTTTTTTAAAGTTTTACAACAGGATTCAGCCCATGGGAATGGGGGAGGACAAGGAATATCTTTCAATAAAATGTACAAAGTGGAGGAACAGGGGGCCTGGCTTAAACCCACCGTCTCACAGGTACTAGCCAGTGTGTCCAGAATGCTGCTTCAGCCACACAGACAAGCTGCCAACAGTGTGATTGGGGGGGTGGGGTAGAATTTTATGTTCTAAATGACAGGATAGTGTAGTTTTACATGTTGGGGACGTTGAGAAAATATTAAGGATATTGATGTACAGTATAAATCTTTCACTGGGTTGGGAATCTGTGGCTCTCTGGACATTTTTGGACTCCAAATCCCATGAGCTCCAACCAACCAACATAACTAGCAGTTATGGGATGATGGGAGCTGAAGTCCAAAATGCCAGGAGGCCCACAGCTTCCCATTCTTTTTCCCTAGTATATATTCTTCTGCCAAGTTAATATTATCTGGATCTCTTCCTATCCTTCCCTCTGTTAATCCAGGAATTAGCAGGATTCCCAGGACTCATGTTAATCTAAAGTTGCAACTTAAAACCTCTTGTCAAAGCTTAGAAACGTGACTGTTTTGGACTGCAACTAGCCAGAGTTCCCTAGCCAGCCCTGGCCATGGAAGTGGCTTTTCCAAGTCCACCTTCTGCTCTTCGTTCCTTGTAGCTGCTGCAATCGTACCCAAAGACAGAGCATTCTAAATGTATTTTGAATGACCAAAAGTCTGTCGTCTTGCAAGGGTGCCCAAGTTTGCAAGATTCAGCTCCACTTTTAAAAACCCTGGAGGGCACCAGGTTGGGGAAGGGGATTGTAGGGCTTGTGATTCCCTTGAAGACCAACGCTTTTGCCTGGGCTGGCTCTCTGAAAGTTCATCTGTGCTTGCTGGTGGAAAGCCGACAACTATCTCTGTGCAAAGTCCTACTGTGAAAATGGTACAGAAAATACAGTATAATCCCCATTTTCATTTCTGTGCATTGTTTCACTTAGCATTTTGTATTTCTCTAGGGACCACCTGTCTTGTCTGAAGCATGCTGGGACTTCTCATTACTGTGCAAAAATAAATGTGTACCTTTTAGATAAATTTACCAAAGGTCCCCTGCTGTTTGCAGGCATTGCATACCTGCAGCTGTACAACACACCAGTGTAGCTAGGACCTGCGTAAAGCATCCTTATTTAGATTCAGCTAAACAGTATCTCCCTGTTGGATAGCTGATAAGCACATATTAAAAACACCAATGTCCTATGGTTCCTTTAAGAGGAAAATATGTATTTTCCTGTAAGCTTTCATGGATAACTTTTTCAGACACAAGAAGAGTAATATTTAAGCCAGAGGTTTATAGCTATACTGTACAGTGTAACAGCTGTGGGAGTGGGGATGACATGAGATACAGAAGATGACAAAGGTGTTATTGACACTGGTAATGAACCTTCAAGAGTCAGTGTTGTATAGCGGACAAGGTCAAACAGTGCACTGCCAAATGATCTCAGGGAGGGGGAGGTAAATGTAGATCCATTTGGTGATTCTTTGTTTGAAGAATTGGAATGAGAAATCTAGCCAATTGCAACCTGGGGCGGAGTCTGAAACCTCACCCCCACTGACGTTTGCAGCTTGCATTTGAACTTGCCTTATGAAGCAGATTGGGCACAATCATCTGCCATGGATTTTTGGAACGTCCATTTTTTTCCTGCACTGTCCACAGAATCTTGGTGCAGTGCTTGAGGAAGATGGATTAATGTTGAATGCTAGCTGTTTATTCAGTTTTTTAGTGGCCTAATAAAGGTATCACCTACACATATCCTAGGGGTTATTCATTTGGAGAAGGCTGCAGTAAAAAAAACTTTTGTTAGCCTGTCTCTCTGACCCCTGTCATTTAGGCTGCCTTTCCCACACACAGTGACACCAGATACTGGCAGAGGCCCATATCGGCAGACAGATCTGGAAGACCAAAAAACAAAACAAAATGCTGCAACTAGGTTAAGAGCCTCTTAGAACAAAAGACAACACAAGGTTTATAGCTGAGTCATAAACCCCCTGATGGTTTGGAGTGACTTACAATGCAGGGTCCCTGCTGGTGGGCGCACAGTTTACCAAGTTTTATGTAGCGACAAAGTAAAGAAACAAATTGCTTTGGAACTTTTAGAGCTGGTTCGTCTTGGTCTTGGCAGTTTGAGCAGCCCCAGAGCGAGCCATTTCCACTTTCTCCGTGCCCTCTATTAATTGCGTGTTATCAGCTTGTGAAAGCAAGCTGGCAGGCAGGAGAGGGCGAGGTTTGTGTGTAGATCATTGTGAAAAGAGCAGGGCTCACACAGTGCCAAGAGCTGGGAGCGAAATCTCCTGCATGCTTGAAAAGTCCCACAAACGACCAGAGCTATGGCAAAGTGTATTTTGTCTCGCATATTGTTTACTTGGGAGCAGAGCCGGTTTTGTGAAATGGGGTTTGCCTCCTAAGTACAACTTCGGTTTGAATTGTAGTGCAGCGTTATGATGACCCTGTCCGTTTCCCTTCTGATCCAGCTCTGCGCCGTCTGTTTCTACAGGAGGGGCTCAGCTTGTGCTCCTCCTCTTCCGCCATCACGCATTTGCCTGTTAACATCTGTGTGGAGGTAAACAATGATGGTACTGTTGCGCCTGTAACTTGGTCTCTTATCCCTGCTTTTGGCACTGGATGTACAAATTTGGGTTTTGATTTGAACACGGGTCTGAACTTGGTAACTGCTGGGGGGAGGACACCACGTTAACCAGTCTTCATACGATGCTGTGACACTCGGCAGCTACCGCACACAGTGGGTTGTGCTCTAGTTCAGTGCACATGCAATGAGAACCAGAGCTGTGGGATCCCGTTTCCTCCAGACCTCACAAAGTCTCTTTTGTGGCTATAAACCCCTCTTTCCCCCTCCCCCAAAGAAAACGTCTCCAAACTCTAGTTTTCTCTTTATGACTGCTGGACTTTCCTTGCTAGAACTTTTGGTCTAACCGTTTAGTCCTCAGCCACAAACAGAAAAGGGGGCCTAGATATGTTTAAGTGTACCAGCTTACATTCCTTGTCTCTGCTTCCTAGTCGTCCATTCTGTTTACTTTTTCAGCTATTGATTGTCATGATGTCAAAAAAATTAGACTTCTGCGTCATGGGGGCATGGACATATGGGGTTCCCCTTTCTTTATTAAACAGTGTAAAAGGTCCTTGTACATTAATAGTGCTGTATAAATAATAATTAAACTATATGCAAGCTTCCACTTGTTTTATTGTCTGGCAACATCTTTAAAAAAACATTGGAAAGGGGAATTGGCATACTGGAGTGTGGCTTCTAGAGACGCAGGCAACAGAGGGCACATTGGCTGCAGTCAGACACACTGATTGATTGATTTAAAATATTTTTACCCTACCTTTTCTCCTTGTAAGCTACCTTGGGTCCTTTTATAATTAAAAAGACAATTTTTAAAAGCTAAAAACAGTTAAGTATAAAAATATTTAAAGGCAAGATCGAAAGACTATGGTAACGTGCTCTGTATGGAGGACTTGGAACAGCCTCTAGTGTGGCTGAGGAGGCCAATTCGAGAGTGACAGTCCCTTCCACACTGAAGACAGATCCAGTCTGTCCCCTGTCGAGCTCCCTGGTTTTGCTGCTTTTGTGACTTCCTCTTTGCCTCGGCCTGCTGGGCAAGGGTCTCTTCAAATTGGGAGAGGCCATGATGCACCGCCTGCCTCCAGGCTGAATGCTCAGATGTCAGGGTTTCCCATCTGTTGAGGTCTATTCCTAAGGCCTTCAGATCTCGCTTGCAGATATCCTTGTATCGCAGCCGTGGTCTCCCTCTGGGGCGATTTCCCTGCACTAATTCTCGATACAGGAGATCCTTTGGAATCCGACCATCAGCCATTCTCACGACGTGCCCAAGCCAACTTAGACATCGCTGTTTCCGTAATGTGTTCATTACTGAATTATAACAAGTAATATATTAAAAATGGTAAATAAAATCAATACTAAAAATATAAGCAACGTAACAAAAAAATCCATTAAAAAAAAACCTCTCAGGCAGCCAATCATTAAGAAAAAGCCTGCCTGAAGAGAAAGGTCTTTGCCTGCTTGTGGAAGGACAGCAAAGATGGGGACAGTCTGGCTTCCTGTGGGAGGGAGTTCCAAAGTCTGGGAGCAGCCGCAGTGAAGGCTATCTCTCATGTCCCCACCAAGTGTGCCTGTGAAAGTAGCAGGACCAAGATAAAGGCCTCCCTGATGATCTTAATGTCTGGGCAGGCTCATAGAGGTAAATGTGGTCTTTTAGATAGCTTGGATGCAAACTGTTTAGGGTTTTATACATTAGAACCAGCATTTTGAATTGTGCCCAGAAATGGATTGGTAGCCAGTGGACGTGCTGTAACAGGTTATATGTTCCCTGTAATATGTTCCCAGGGAACATATTACAGCCCCAGTAAGCAATGTGGATGGGTACAGAAGTCATACCTGTTAGGATTACGATGTTTGTAAGTAGGCATCCACCTTGAGATAAGCAAGGTCGTAAGGTGTTCATTTTATTGGCAGCTGAAATGACATCCAGTAAATGACAATCAGTGATGTGAAGGGTTGTGCTCACCTGTATTGTGGGAGATTAAATATACTTATTCAGTGTGTTTGTCTCCTGCGTTACTTCCATTGTGGAATTTAAGACAGCTTATGGGAGGTTCCCAAGTGTTCTCTCCTCCTGGCACTGGAGGAGTTTTAGACTTCTGTAGTATTCAAGAGCAGGCTGCATCACATGCCCTGAAAGACCACTTGAGCATATACAAGGTCTTGGGCTCTGTCCAGAACAACTTCAGCTTTAAAGAAAAGGGAGATTAAGTAGGGTGGCAGGGAATATGTAGCCCTTCAGTTGCTGGATTGCAGCTTCTCCCACATCAGTAGTTTACAGTGGCTAGAACTGATGGGATTAGCAAGCCAACATTTTTAAGATCACAAATTGTCCCCACCTGGACCAGAAGGTTAAATATTTGGACCTGGTATAAACGGTGCTCCGGAAAGGAGTTTGATTCCCCACTCCTTGACGGGCTGAACACCATGATACATAGGGTACTTTCCAGCTGTGCAGTTCTGAGATTATATATAGATTATACCAGTTTCTGGGAGCCATTGTTTGATAAGTAACTTCCAATGCCACTCCATATACTCAGATTTGGAAGACACAGCATTACACTCGACTCGGGACTATTGAGTCAAGATATAGCTCAAGATGGTCAACACCGAGTGGTGGCAGCAGCCTTATAGGATTTCAAGCCCCATCTGGAGAGTCCTGTATTTATTCCCTGATGGCTCTGCCTGGCCCTGCTGAGCTTCCAAAATCAGATGTGCTCAGGGACATTAAGGGTCATAGAATGGGTTGGGCCTGGAGGAGGCTGTAGACGATCTAAGCTTCCTAACTACAGTATAGCCGTAAACAGGCCTGAGAACAGAGGGCTGGGGCAGTCCGCCCTCCCCTTTATGTAATTAGAGTAGATAACTGCAACTAGAATGCTCTGAATATGACATTTTCCTCCACCGCCATGTAGGGCTACATTTCTGCCGCCAGAGGTCTCTCTTTCTTACTTGCTTGTCCCCAGACTCTGAGAACAGCTGTGCCTGTTTCCTGGTTCTCCACATCCTGGTGGAGGAGTGAGGCTGGACTGTTGCATTCTGGGCCTGATATGACAAGGAAAAAAAAAAAGAAAAGAGGGGTGAGCAGAGGAGGAGGGGGAAGGGACTACAAGGACGTCTGAGCCGAGCAAGCAGAAGGCAGTATTACGCTGCCTGTGCAGACATTAAGAGTATTACATCCTCTGGCTTGCAGACAGAATGCTAAGCCAGGAAGGGGGCGGCTGCTTTGAGGGGCCCGGCTCACGCAGGCATTAAGAAGGAGAGCCGCTGGAGCTTCATGTGGTTTGCAGAGGTAAGTCTGTCAGCATCGCTGAACGACCAGCAGGTATTGGCTATCCATTACAAATATTTCCCAGCTACAGTTTTCTCCTGCCTTTCCCCTTAATGAGCTCAACATGGGGTCCTGTGCCTTTCTTCTTCCCCGTAACCCTGTAAAGGGGGGCAGCAGGCTAAGAAAACAGAAATGACATCCAGTAAATGACAATCAGTGATGTGAAGGGTTGTGCTCACCTGTATTGTGGGAGATTAAATATACTTATTCAGTGTGTTTGTCTCCTGCGTTACTTCCATTGTGGAATTTAAGACAGCTTATGGGAGGTTCCCAAGTGTTCTCTCCTCCTGGCACTGGAGGAGTTTTAGACTTCTGTAGTATTCAAGAGCAGGCTGCATCACATGCCCTGAAAGACCACTTGAGCATATACAAGGTCTTGGGCTCTGTCCAGAACAACTTCAGCTTTAAAGAAAAGGGAGATTAAGTAGGGTGGCAGGGAATATGTAGCCCTTCAGTTGCTGGATTGCAGCTTCTCCCACATCAGTAGTTTACAGTGGCTAGAACTGATGGGATTAGCAAGCCAACATTTTTAAGATCACAAATTGTCCCCACCTGGACCAGAAGGTTAAATATTTGGACCTGGTATAAACGGTGCTCCGGAAAGGAGTTTGATTCCCCACTCGACGGGCTGAACACCATGATACATAGGGTACTTTCCAGCTGTGCAGTTCTGAGATTATATATAGATTATACCAGTTTCTGGGAGCCATTGTTTGATAAGTAACTTCCAATGCCACTCCATATACTCAGATTTGGAAGACACAGCATTACACTCGACTCGGGACTATTGAGTCAAGATATAGCTCAAGATGGTCAACACCGAGTGGTGGCAGCAGCCTTATAGGATTTCAAGCCCCATCTGGAGAGTCCTGTATTTATTCCCTGATGGCTCTGCCTGGCCCTGCTGAGCTTCCAAAATCAGATGTGCTCAGGGACATTAAGGGTCATAGAATGGGTTGGGCCTGGAGGAGGCTGTAGACGATCTAAGCTTCCTAACTACAGTATAGCCGTAAACAGGCCTGAGAACAGAGGGCTGGGGCAGTCCGCCCTCCCCTTTATGTAATTAGAGTAGATAACTGCAACTAGAATGCTCTGAATATGACATTTTCCTCCACCGCCATGTAGGGCTACATTTCTGCCGCCAGAGGTCTCTCTTTCTTGCTTGCTTGTCCCCAGACTCTGAGAACAGCTGTGCCTGTTTCCTGGTTCTCCACATCCTGGTGGAGGAGTGAGGCTGGACTGTTGCATTCTGGGCCTGATATGACAAGGAAAAAAAAAAGAAAAGAGGGGTGAGCAGAGGAGGAGGGGGAAGGGACTACAAGGACGTCTGAGCCGAGCAAGCAGAAGGCAGTATTACGCTGCCTGTGCAGACATTAAGAGTATTACATCCTCTGGCTTGCAGACAGAATGCTAAGCCAGGAAGGGGGCGGCTGCTTTGAGGGGCCCGGCTCACGCAGGCATTAAGAAGGAGAGCCGCTGGAGCTTCATGTGGTTTGCAGAGGTAAGTCTGTCAGCATCGCTGAACGACCAGCAGGTATTGGCTATCCATTACAAATATTTCCCAGCTACAGTTTTCTCCTGCCTTTCCCCTTAATGAGCTCAACATGGGGTCCTGTGCCTTTCTTCTTCCCCGTAACCCTGTAAAGGGGGGCAGCAGGCTAAGAAAACAGGGACTGGCCTGAGTTCACCCACCTTCCTGGGGAAGTGAACGTGAATCTCTTACCACTTCTGTGCCACTCTGGCTCTTCACTAACATGTGTGAAGTCACCCCATGCAAATAGTCATGGGGGAAAATGTCCTTTGACACCACACCTGGGACACAGAATATAGACTGCCCTATTTATAGGTGCTCTATCATATCTTCCCCCCCCCTCTCTTGAGAGAGAGTCTGGGGGCATTGACAAACTGGAAGAACCCAGGGTTTGCAGAAATACAAAAACGTAGGAGGGCAATCCTGTGGTAACACAAAAACAATCCACTGAGGAGTAAAAATGGCCAGTGAAAACAAAATCCTCAGGGAGTTTTGTGGGAGGGGAGAAGGGATTGATTATCTTGAAAGTGGTGTGGCTCAAACAGAGCACTCCTTGCTAGCTAGATTTCTACTGTCTTTTCAGTTACCGCCCCTGTCCGCCCGGGCATCCGTGGCTCTCCTCCTCTGCATTTCATCCTCACAAATCTGTGAGGTAGGTGAGGCTGAGAGTGAGTTACTAGGCCACGTTTTCCCTTGAGTGTACAGAAGAACCGGAATCTTCCATTCTGAAGTATCCATTTTGTGTTCTAATTACTTCATCACTGAGGCCTCCATGAACTCTTTTGTAAACTTAACTGGACAAGTTTTCTCACTTCAGATTTCTATAAACACCACTATTTTAATCGTTACGGATCCATATGTCTAGAAGCAAATCAAAGTCTCACATGCACCCAAATCTGCAGTGCAAGACATATTTACACTGGAATTAAATTCCACTTTGTTCAGGAGATTCCAGTATATGTGGTTAGGCATGTAGTACAGTCCTACTTCGGTTTAAGTCCCAATGAACAGTGTGGCCTAGCAGAGGTTGCCAGCACCTGGGGCAAGGCAAGCATTGAGCCCCCTAACCCATGGGACTGTTCTCATTCTCCAAGTCCCTTCCACCAGGTCCAGTATTGAACCCCTTACTCCCCAAAGCACATGTATTTTAAGAAAATACTGATGTAATTAAAGTAAAATGCATTAAATGCTTATATACTCACATTTATTTAAAATTATCTGGTTTTGATTTATGCAAAATTTTCAATTACAGTATTGAAATCTACATTGAAATCTCAATTGACAGTGTTGCTAAGTGACTCAGTCTTTCTTGGCTCATTGTAGACCTGATACATTTTCAATTAAGTTTTGAGAAACTTCTTTCACAAGCGGCAGATGAAGCAGTGATTTAAAAAGATTCTTAATGTCACAACAAAGTTAGTGAAACTCTTTTGCAGCTTCCACTTGTACACCCAACAAAGCAAATCTAAAGCTGTCCAGTTAGCATTCTGATCATTGAGATTGACTTCCTTGCACAAGACAGTATGGTGCTGAGGGCAATTTATTTTTATGATCATAGCTGCAGCTTTCAACTCTGCATACTTAGCACATGTGTGCTGAATTTGCTTTTTGGTAAAATCATCAATTGCTGCTGAAGCATATTCATCTGTATTGTACGTTTTGTAATTTCTGCCTTAAGTTAACCCATTGCTTCCAGTTGTTCTCTGCGTGTTTCTTGCACTAAGGTCAAGCCAGTATCACAACTGTGTTCACCAGGCATCTTTTGCACATCTGCCAAGCTTTCTCCATTGCTTTTGACACTCGTTTTTTCTGGCAAAACGGAGCCAATGCTTTCAAGTTTAGCACACACTGATCAAGCGCAAGTTCTTCGTATTGCAAGTAGATCTGAGCATCATTCACTTTGGTAAGTACTGGGCTCCAAAAATGCAAGAATGAGGGGGGAAAGAATGCAAATTAACAGACTTCCCTGCATCACCCTTGGTTTCAGAAGTTTCTTCTGGCCCATCTCGTAACACTTCCAAAGCTTCTATTATTTCCTCAGTGTGCTCCGCAAGTATGCATACAGCGTCATACTTTGAACTCCATCTTGTGTCATATGACGGCACATATTCCTTAAGAACATTCCACCTATGGGTGGAGCTTGAGAAGAACGTGTACATCTTTTCCACAGTTCCAAAGAAAGTCACAGACTACATCCCAACTGCATGCGCACTAGCAAGACAGAGCAATTGTTACCTGGCACAAACACTGCTTTGGGATTCATATCCAAAATATGCTTCTGAACACCCCAAATATGTCCAGTCATAGTTGCAGCATTGTCGTATCCTTGGCCGTAGCAGTGCTCCAGCTTAAGGCCATCTGCTTGCAACTTGTTACAATTCTGTTTTGTAATGACATCAGCTGATTTCCCATGTAACTGAATGAAGTCAATGAAAGACTCTACCATGCTGACTTCTGTATGTTCAGTGTGCACATATCAAGTCACTTGGGACATTTGTTAGCATGAAGAATATCTGGAGTGCTATCCAACATATAATTTGCAATACTGTATTTTGAAAGATGGCTGTTCTAATTTGATCGTCGAGCAGGCTGACGAACTTATTCTGGCTCTGTTGAGAGAGATAAGACACAATGTATTCATCTGTGTGCTGAACTTTGTGAAGATGCTGATTGGCAACTGGGTCATATTTGGCAAGTAACTTAAAAGTTTCTAGGAAATTTCCATAGTTACCATCTGTGCTTAGATCTTCTGAGTGACCACATAAGAGTAAGGTTTGCCTGGCCAGATACAGCACACAATCAAGTATTCTGGCTAAGATTGCCTTTCCATTTCTCAAACAATCTCTGCTATGTATTCTCAAAGGCTTTAACGGCTGGGATCTGTTGGTCGTTGTAGGTTTTTCGGGCTGTTTGGCCATGTTCTGGAGGTTTTTCTTCCTAACTTTCCACCACCCGTAACAAAAAACAACCTGATCACCATAAACACCTGAAAAGGACAAAAAGCTGATCGCACAGCTACAAATACTCAACTATCCCACACACTACACCAGAACACAGAGTTCTAACTCCTGTCCTCTGAAGATGCCGGACACAGAGAATGGCAAAACATTAGGACAAAAAACCTCCAGAACATGGCCAAATAGCTCGAAAAACCTGCAACAAAAATCTCTGTTATACCAGATGGGCAACAGCATCAATAGGCTCTCGTTTCTGTAGCTGCATTTCAAATTCTTTCCACGTTGTAAATGCACTGAGGTGATATGAACTGCACACATACACTTGTAATTTGGGGTTCAGCTTTCTCCACGCACTAAATGCACTTGGCTTTCCCAAAAAACTTTCCCCTTTGGCTTTCAGAAAAAGCATACAAGTAAAGCAAGATGCAGCACAATTTACAGGAGAAAATACCAACCACATCCTTAACATACCGGTAGTCTCACCATTGTCCAAATTCATGTAGAAGCAATCCTTGAAAAATGAACTCCCATCACTGTCATTTGGAAACAATGCATCCTTATTATGCAATTGCACTGTCCTCTCTTGACAAATTCAGTCTTCGAAATGTCATGCAGTTTCCGGCCAATAGCCAATATCAGTGAATAATTGTCGGTCAACACTCTCTGGCAGAATATTTGGGTGAGCAGAAGTAGAAGCATCCTCAAGCAAGGCTGTTTTTGCTCCTGAAGCAACAATAGGAATATCCTTAACATAGGATCAGGCTTGTGAAGCTTCTGTGATGCTGCTGGCGAGCCTGGTCTACTTTCAGCAATGTTCACAAGAAACCTGTCAAGGCTTCCAGACAGCTTAGCCAGTTGCACCTGCTCTGTCTTTCTCATCTTCCTGCTTTGTGCACCTGATTCTTTTTTTCTTTGGCATCATGGTTGACATGGCATGTGTAGATGAGTAGTATTATGTGAATTTTTTTAAAAAAATATTCACTTTTATACCTTGCTCCATTTTTACTTTTTTACCACTAATGACTTTACCATAAGAAATGACTACTACATCAGCAAAACAATTATCACAGCAAGTAAAATATGAAAACTACCGCAACCTGTTGACATACCAAAATAACAACATTCACCAAATAATCAAACGCTGGCAACAGCATCATGTTTTAACTCTTTGTTAGAACACTAAATTGATGGGAACATTAGTTGGTGATGGAGGAGGAGTGAGGCTATCTAGGTGCCCATTGCAACTCGGCAAAATTGTGACATTTTTTAATTATGATTTTTAATACAATTTATGAACATTACATCTTCAAATAGGAAACCAAGCTATTAATAGGCATTATGTAACTCTTAATTACATAAGCAGGGCAAATGCCAGTGGGTGGAGGTAGACCTAGCAATGGGCAAAACAAGGGTCAGAGTCCTCATCGCTGCACACTCTCCCCTCATATTTGCATGCACAGACAATCACAGGACATCTTCCTATGATCCTTAACAGAGCAATACTATTCATTCAAGTTCTGCCTGCCACCTTCCATTGGCATGTCCAGAGGACTGGAAGTGGGCTTGGGGCTAGACCATGGCAGTGGCTCCTGCTTAAGAGGAGAAAAATGAGGGGCCAACTCACCCCCCCCCACCTCATTGATTGCAGGGGCAACACGGGTGGCTGCAGGCCTCCATGCTTACTTTGCTAGCAAACATGAGCTAACTCCGGATCGTCAAGATCCAGCTCAGGGAGGAAACGTTCGAACATTGGGAGATTTTCTGTGCGAGGCGTCGGCACTATTTTAAATTTATTATTACTACCTTGCTATAGAAATTTTACACCCCCAAGAATTTTGTGCCCAGGGTAACCACCCTTGTGGCCCCACCCATATTACACCACTGCTTCTCCCCTGTTTTTCAGTAACTCCTGTCCCCAAAGGGCATCCATGGCTCTCCTCCTCTGCATTTCATCCTCAGAGATCTGTAAGGTAGGTGAGGCTCAGAGAGTTACTAAGCCGTGTTTTCCCTTGAGTGCATATTAGAACTTGAATCTTCCATTCTGAAATATCCATTTTGTGCTTTAATTACTTCATCAAAGAGGCTTCCATCAAAAGGTTAACTGCCCTTTCTTTCAGTTTTCTCACCTCCAGATTTCTACAATTACCACTGTTCTAATGGTTACGCATCTGTATGTCTAGAAGCAAATCAACAGCTCACCTGTACCTAAACTTGCAATGCATATCTACATTGGAATTAAGTTCCCTTGTGTTCAGGAGACCCCCCCAGTATGTGTGTGGCTCGGCATCCAGCATGTTTTTGTATGTTCTAAGAGTTTCTTACAATTAAAAAAAATGAACTGGTTAATAGACAGAAGCCGTGTTTCTATACTACTAGCCTATTATTCCTACCACTGTCTCAATATTTGCATAGGCCAGCTTCCCCCACACTAGCACACTTTTACATGAGTAAGATCTCACCTCCCGTCACTCCCAGGTAACTTGCCAATGCTGGTCAAAGATTATGAAAATGTCAGGCCAACGTATATGGAAGAAACCTGGTTGGGGAAACAGTCTAGTCTAACAGAATAATAGATAGCTTAATAGTGTAGCAATCAAAAAGACACGAACTGGATGCTATGACTAAAGTTGACTGTAAGGTAGGAATCACCTTGGAAGGGTCTTTCCTGGAGAGATCACAGGCTAGGAAGTAGCATATAGCCATGGGATCTGGTTTGTTGTTGCTTTCTTCTCCTTAGAAAAATCAACTCTGCCATCTTATGAACTGAGCAGCAGCCCTATAATAATAGGCCCAGAAGATAAAGCCTCCCTCCAAACCCAAGGCCTGCTCAGTAGTTACCCCGTCACCATCCCAGTACAAATACCAGAAACGTGAGTAAAACCAGGCCTTTTAAGGTCACAGAAAACTGATAGGTTTTCAAAGATGGCTTAACTGTCCTCTCAGCCAAACTGCAGCAGACACAGGTCTGCATTTCACTGGAGGCCCGAACTGGCAAAGAGTAACGTTCACTTCAGACGAAAGCAAACAAAGGAGAGGATATGAGTCAGACTTTCTTCTGCCACTAAACAAACCATTATTTTGAAGTGCCTTTCTTGTATTTGGCCCATATGTAATTGCAAAGGCGAAAGAAGCACTGCTCTGAAGCAGCACTGACAGACTTCTTGGATCAAAAAACAATCCCTGGAATATAACATGCTCAAGACATAAAGGGCAGTGTTCTTTACAGGTAGGCAGGTAGACCATCCCTCTGCACTGTTTCTACATTTTGGCAACTGTGGAAAAACCACAAACCGCTACCTTATACCTGTGGTCTTAGAGCAGTGGTTCCCAACCTTGGGTCCCTGGATGTTCTTGGACTACAACTCTCAGAAGCCTTAATCACAAGCTGTGCTGTCCAGGATTTCTGGGAGTTGGAGTCCAAGAATATCTGAGGAAGCACTGGATTAGTGCTGGATTTGGATTCGAGTAACCACAAGGCTACATGTGACCCAACTCCAGGAGGCAATGGAAGACAGGAGGGCTTGGCGTGCTCTGGTCCATGGGGTCATGAAGAGTCGGACACAACAACAACAAAAAACCCACAAGGCAATCCAATCTGTCATTGTTCCCTGGACCTACCCTCTGAGTTGGGAAGATTACACTTGTGCGTTGGGGAGGAGGAGTTCTGCCTATTCCCTCCAGCTCACACTAGAGGGAAGGGAGGAATCTAAATGTAACTAATAACAAAGGGAAAAGGGTTAAGTGGATTCCATTGGGTTACCCTTACTTAACAGCTCAGATTTCTTGTTCCAAGAATTCTGCACCATCACTTCATTGCATCAGTTATACAAGGTTAGGTTGACCCTCTCAAAATCCACCCCCTTGGTCAGGTTTTTTTCCCCCTTTAACGTGTAACACTTTGCCTGGAAACCCTGCGGAAGGAGACAAGTGTGCCCCTAAATCTAGCCTTTGAGGAATAGTGCCTCCTCCTGTAGAGAGCAAACAGATCGGCAACGCTCGTTTTTGGACGCCCAGCCCCTGCTTCGCCAGTCAGCCGGGATCGCCCCCAAAAACATCTCAGGGGCCAAAAAAAGGACTCGACCCCTGCCTGGCACTGCGCCGGTTGCGTAGAGGGCGTTGCACGGAGGGCGAAGACAGCGCTTGCAGGCCGGCCAACCTCCAGGAAGCTGCCCCGGGGGGGGGGGCGTGCGACCCAACAACGGCCTCTTCCCTTTGCACTCCTCGGCGTTGGTCCCCTGGCTTCTTCCCACCCCGCGCCCCTAATTACGGGGGCTTCCGATGGGGGGGGAGGGAGGAGATCCTAAGGCTGGTCACTCAGAAGATATCCCGGGGCGGCGGGGAGGGAAAGGCTGCCCGGCGCCTTCTGGCTGGTAGTGCAGGGAGCGCCCGGCGCCTTCTGGCTGGTAGTGCAGCGAGCCGTCCGCTGGGAAAAGCGTCCCGAAAAGCATGCCCCTCTCCCCGGGAGAAGAGATCTTGCGCCGGAGGAAAGCGGAGGCAGGAAGCCGGGGGGGGCAGGGGGGGGAGAGGCCTGCGCACCCTTAACTCGCGAGCTAGTCTCCGTCGGTTCCGCGGGGCTCGGTGGGGAGCAAGTAGGCTTCGGTCTTAGGTTGCAAGGCTTCACAGCTTGGAGGGAGGAAAGCGCTAAGGGCGATGTACCGGAGGGAGAAAATATCCGGAGGAGGGGGCGGGGTAACGAGTAAGGCGACCCAATAAATAAATAAATAAATTCCGGTGGGTGGGGGGACGGGGGCAATGCCAAAATACTGCTGCACCCGACACCAGCAAAACGAGTGCAAACCTGTCGCAGGTGA